GCTTAACATGTCAGTTAGGCCTCAAGTTTTCAAAGCAATAAAAATTCAGAATTTCAGTACCATTACTTTTCCACTAAGTTCAGTTTTTAGGCATCATTTACTTAAATTGTAAGTTACTGTCGCTAATTTGTATCGATAAACCTTTCACCTGCTGTATTTCTGTTCGTATAAAAATGTAAATAAAGCTTATACCTGATGCCAAGTCTATAGGATGAAAGTAGATCTACGTTATTTATTACTATTACTATCAGACATTTTTATTCAATTAACGGGACAAATAAAAAGCTTAACGTTGGTTTGACTTCTAATTACTTGTACACAAAAATAGTGGTACAATACTTTAACTGCTGTCGTTAATGTATTCGTAATTGTATTTTGAACTTCATTTATCGAGACTATTTTTTTATAAGTATTATATTGATTGCCTTGTTTATTGTAGATTCCGCAGTTATGCCTACTAACATTGAATAAAAAAAGAGACTTCTTGGTAATAGTAATTAACGTAAACAAAATAACGACCTATATACACAGAATATATATTTATTAGCTCAATATTCGGTATTACAGCCTCTTGAGCTAACCACAAACTACCTAAAAGTTCGCTGACGAACTTTTAGTTTGTCGATAGCTTCTGAGGAAGTTATATTCAATTTGTAATAATAAAATTTTGAGCTAATAAATATACATTATAGAATATAGGTCGTTCTTTTATTTATATTAATAGATACGTTAAGCAAAGTTAATAATAAATAGAATCTTTAATGCAAATGTTTTTCTATGGCAGATATGAAGGTCATAGGCTATCTCATAATCTCAAAATATGGCTAAAGCAAATAATGGAGTTATTTTCTTGAATCTATTGTTCTTTGTTGTGGCAAAAGTTTTATCAAATGAAAATTCTGAATTAAAATGGCAGTGGGTTTGTGCGAATGATTACGATTCAACTGTTCCTTGTTTGATGCCAGTTGGGAATTGTGGTTTAAAAACAAAGATTATTGGTAAGTTCTCAAATATTAAACAAATAAATAGATTTATATTTTCAACAGAAAACACTAAAATCCTTTCTTAACGCTTATAGATATCAGCCATATCTTTATCATATAAGTGTTACTTGTTTTATATATCTGAGAAATGTGCACTTTAAACTTATTATTGTTTGCATTATTAAAAAATTGTTATAAAAGGTTATCTAACAGAATTTGCGGAGAACTGGAAAATGAAAATATAAAATCGTAGTTTTACAACACGCATTCTTTAAATTCATCATTTCATATATTTCAAGTAATGCAAAAAATTATTAACTGTTCATATACAGAACTTATTTGCTTTGATGATAAATGTGGTAAACTACTTGATATTTAAATTTTCTGTGTTTGTTAAATACAGCGTAAAGTACAAGAGTATTAATAATTATAATTTTTAAATGAAGTAGGGATCTTGCTACAAAAAGTAATGAAACAAGAATTAAAATCACAATTACAAATTTATAAAATTTAATCCCTACTTTGGTCTACAGATATGTGTATAAAGCTGTCAAAGCTTGTTTCATTAAGTTTTGGAGCAGGATCCCTACTTCATTTTAACATTTCCAATTTTTTTAATACTCTTGTTTATTTACTTTTTATGTTACACTTGTATTTTAAGTACGGTAGTATTTAATAGTAGGAATGAACAAGGATTCCAAATAATTCACGCGCCAAGAAACCGACCATTCGAATTATTAGTTACAATATATTATGCGCATATATAATGATGATACTCTGAAAGGTCGTTAACATTTCCGGTATATTAATCCAAAAATTTCTAAAACAGCAACTTTTTCGTCTACTACCTACTTACCTGATTACGTCAGCGGGGCTAGCGCCTAGACTGCTCGGACTATCGCTCTAAGATTTCTCCAGCTTACTTGACTGGTTTGTGGGTATCTTCTTTTGATATTCTAATAACAATCCATATATATATATATACAGATATAATATAAATAGTAATAACATCATACACGTACTTAAATATCTTTTCAACCCAATGGATTGCGCTACATATTGATGGATAGACATGTAACCGTTTCTAAAGTAAAGTATATACTTTATACAGGTATAACATAAAATGTAAGCAAACAAGAGTATCAAAAAATTAAGAATTTTAAAATGAAGTAGGGATCCTGCTACAAAATGTAATAAAACAAGAATCAAAACCACAATCACAAATTTATAAATATTTAATTCCTACTTTGGCAGCTTTATACATTTACCTGTAGGCCAAAGTAAGGAATAAATTTTATAAATTTGTGATTGTGGTTTTAATTCTTATAAACGTTATAGCTATCAGTGATATGTTTATACTGAAAGTTTTTAGATGTTGTTTCCATGAAATGGGGCCCGACATGGCCAGGTGGTTAGGGGACTCGACTCGCAATCTGAGGGTCGCGGGGTCGAATCCCCGTCACACCAAACATG